CTTCAGCTAGGATGAGAGGGTAATTGCCCAGGCGGCTAATTGACGGAGAGGGGAATATATATATATATATATATATATATATATATATATATATATATATATATATATATATAAAGTATCCCCAAAGAGCCGTCAGCTTAACAGATAAAGACCATGTGCAACTTTCTAACGTAAAAGGTACAAAGGCTGATTTGGTTTCGACTGTTGATATGCTTCCAACAATATCTTCAGATCAACTCTAGCCCAGGCTTACATCACTTAAATGGGCTTTAGCCCTTTGTTGCTTCATCAAGCTCTAATGTTGTCGCATAAGCGCCTTCCTGGAACCTAAATTTTCACTTACTATTTACTAGTTTAGCTCACGGTACTATTTTAATTATAATACATATTGATACTATTGCACATTTATATATATATATATATATATATATATATATATATATATATATATATATATATATAGGTATTTATTTTGAGAGAGAGAGAGAGAGAGAGAGATATTAAGGCAGTGTGAAGAGCAGCGAGTGTTTGTTTTATTGGGTGACAAAGCGTGTAATTGTAAGACAATTATATTGATTCTGTTTAATTAGTTCATTATATTGATTTTTGTTTATAACATCTCTTATTCATTGATATTGCATTATCTTTATGCATTGTCTATTTTCATCATCCTGGCCCTCACAAAGTGGGCTAAAATTGGGCCATTTAAATATTTTCCACATATTTAATAAACACCATGAAGTTCGTAAAATTTTAAACAATTCCAACATTCCTTTCCATATCTTTGGTTTCTAGGAAACTCAATTACAATCTTTTATAAATGACGTTGAGATATCCGTCTCTGATTATAACATAATACGCCGAGACCCATCCTTACACAAAGAAACTGGCCTTTGTGTCTATGTCCACTCCTTAATTCGTTTCAAGTACAGGAAGGATCTGTCAACGGACAATATAGAATGTATATGGATTGAACTGGAAAAAAGCAAACACCATCCGGCAATTTTAATTTGCTTCCTTTATAGAAATCCCTGCGAAAACATTGATTGGTATGATCGTTTTTGCTCCATGATGGATAACGTTTTATCTACTAACAATGAATATATCATTTTGGGAGATTTTAATATAAATTTATTAAAACCTCAAGGATATTGGCAAGATATTGTTGATTCTCTGAATCTAAAACAATTTGTGCACACGGCTACTAGGGTAAATGATAAATCAGGTACAATAATGGACCACATCTACGCATCACCTGACTGCAACCTAATAGAGGTCTGTGTCCCCTCTTGTGGTGTTAGTGACCACTTCCCTGTTTGTTGTACTTTTTCGACGAAAAGATTATGTGTACCTTCGCGGCAACACATAACTATAAGTTATCGCTCTTTTAGAAAATTTAATGAAAATCTTTTTCTTTCGGATTTATTGGCTGCCCTCTTCTGCAATGTATACAATTATAATTGTCCCGATCTAGCAATTTCTGAATGGCTGCGTATTTTGTATACTATATATGACAAACATATTCTCTGAAATCTCTAAAAGGGTTAAGACTACATACAAACCTTCTTGGTTTAACAACAATATCGAATCTGCAATTAATAAAAGAGACTGCCTTAAACGTTATGGAACTTCTGAGGACTTTTGTAGGCAGCGCAATTTAGGTCAAACTGCTCGTGCGTAGGTCGAAGAAGGAGTATTTTAATAAGCTGCTGTCAGGCAAACCTAATTCCAAATCTATCTGGACTGCCATAAATCAAATAATTAGAAAAAAAACGCACATGTAATATAGCTGGACATTGCAAGATATCTGCTGATGACTTTATCAATCATTTTATATCATCTGTAGCGCTCAACACAGATGCTGATTACACAATCAGTGAGGAGCTTAAAAATGTTTGTAATTCTGCTCACCGTGGTAGGACAGAGCTGATCATTCCGCTTCTCACTGTTCATGAAGTATATGTTAACCTAAGAACTCTTAAATCGTCTTCAACAACTTCGTTTGATGATATCTCTAATAATGTGTTGAAGATTTCAGCTCCAATAATTTCCGAAGTTTTAACCTATGTCTATAACCTCTGTATTGCCAAGCATTATTACCCGACACATTTTAAGAATGCTAAGGTTATACCACTACACAAAAAAGGTAACATCCAAGATGCTAATAACTACAGGCCAATTTCTATACTTTCTTCCCTCTCCAAGCCACTAGAAATACATATAAACAAATGCATGTCAAACTACCTAGAAAAGCTCAAGCTTTTCCATAGTAATCAGTCTGGGTTTAGAAAGTTCCATTCTTGTCACACTGCGCTGATTAAGATGAATGAAAACTGGCTTAAAAGTATTAACAAAAACCTACTCTGTGGCTCGCTGTTCGTCGATTTCAGAAAAGCCTTTGATTCTATTGATCACACCATACTTCTTAAAAAACTAATTCCATACAAATTCCACGACTTTACAGTTAGGTTGCTTCACTCCTTTTTATCAAAACGATCTCAACGCGTGTTTCACCTTAATACCATCTCTTCACAGAAATATGTCAATATAGGGGTTCCTCCGGGCTAAATCTTAGGTCCTTTACTTTTTTCTTTATACATCAATGATCTTCCATTACACATTGCTGTGTAACTCAGTTACAAACTTCAAACGTGTTCCAATCAGCTTGCTACTTGGACAAAATTTAACAAAATGAATCTTCTCCACGCTAAAAAAACAAGTCAATGTTTATTACAACTCATCAGAAACGCCTTCGTCTTCCATCCACCGCATTAAACATTACTATTGACAATACAAACATTGAACAGGTTGATAGTTACAAATGCCTAGGATTGTTTATAGATCACAACCTCAATTGGTCCGACCATATTCATTTTCAAAGCATGTCCTTATTAAAGACAACTTTTCAATTAGCAAGGATAAAGAACTTTTCGACTATAGGAGCAGGCTAGTTTTTTATGAAGCTTTTATTCAATCTAGGTTGGATTATGCTTCTGTAGTGTGGAGCTTTATAACTAAGCAGCGTCCTCTTCTATCTTTACAAAAAAGGGCTATGAAACTGGTTACTGGCTTGTCTAGTAGTCTGGATTCTTTTCTTACAACTAAAATACTTCCATTAAATAAAAAGATAATATATACTAAATCAATTTTCTTACATAAAATAGTCCACGAAACAGCCCCCTCTTACTTATCAGATCTATTTTCTTTTAACATAAAATTAAATCGTCGTCTTAATTTACCATTCCCATATTCAACTTTTTTTTCCAAAAACATAGCTTCGCCTACTCTGGTTCTAATTTGTGGAACAATCTTCCTAATAAAAGAAAGCTATCTAGATCTAAAATATATTGAAATCTAAACTAAAACTAAAATTATTTAATGACCTAACTCAGGGGTCGGCAACCTGCCGCTCGCGAGCCGCATTCGGCTCTTTTGATATCAAGATGCGGCTCTCTAGCTCTTTGCACAAATACTAATAATCTTAAGAAAAAAATAAAATATTTGAAATAAAACAATGTTAGTGGCTCTTTAAAACCAGGGAAATTTTGAAAATTGTAACTTTTGGCTCTTCCGCTTCAAAAGGTTGCCGACCCCTGACCTAACTGACTCATTGTAACATTTCTCATTCATCTATTATATTCTCTTTTTTATCTCATTTTGTATTATAACTATGTAACATTGTTTCTTCATTCCACATTTTTAGTGCTATGTTACTGCTATGTGTTATTAAATTGTTTTATTTGTTTAAACGGCCAATGTGAAAAAAGGCCTTTATGCTTACAATTGTAACCGTTTTTTTTTAAATTAAATAAATTGAATAAATTGAATATCTATCTATCTATCTATCTATATATATATATATATATATATATATATATATATATATATATATATATATATATATATATATATATATATATATAGATATATATATATATATATATATATATATATATATATATATATATATATATATATATATATATATATATATATATATATATATATATATGCCTATATATAGAGCAGTGGCGTAGCGAGGTCGGTTGTCACCCGGTGCGGCACTTAATGGTGTCACCCCCCAGAGGCGTGGCGACCCTTCCCGGGGACAAATTTTCGATTTGCACCCCCCCCCCTCTCAAGTTTTCGATTTGCACCCCCCTCAAACTTCCGATTTGCACCCCTCCCCCCTCAAGTTTTTCTCTGTATATTTTTCTATTTTTTGCCTTGGTGTCACCCCCCTAAATGGTGTCACCCGGTGCGGTCCGCACCGCCGCCCCCCCCCCTCGCTACGCCCCTGATATAGAGTATATATTATAATGCTGTATTAAAATGTAATATTCATTTTATGTCCAGATTCACAATAAAACCTTGCAAATTAGTCTGTGTTACTTTGCAGGAAGTAAACAAACTTTAAGGGCAGTGTGCAGTGTTAATTTTATAAGCTGTTTAATCTATTCCATAATCCCTTCTACGGTTATGCTGAGTGATACAATAAGTGACAGTGATCGTTTAAGTAGTCAAAATGGGATGCTTTAAAAAACGACGAAACGACATAAATATTTTGGGCCTTCCCGCTATGAATAAACATACATTCTTTTGAATTACTAAAATATCTGAAACACGATTTTTTAGGCCCAAAAACATACATTTCTATAACGATATGTTATTGATTAGTCTTCAACACATATTTTAATATTTATACTTACCATCAGAATAGCAGTTCTGAAAGAGCAGCACAGCTGATATCAAAATTCCAACAGTTATTGCAGACATTTTGATCAACTATATATCTGAAGCTGTAAATTGTTAAAGCTTATTACTTCATATTTTTCTTTTTCTCTCTCTTCATGTACATATATATAAATATATATATATATATATATATATATATATATATATATATATATATATATATATATATATATATACATATATATTACAATAATATTATAAAAAATAAACTCACCTGAGGAAATGCTTTTCTTGTCAACAGCCTAAGACACCCTAGAACAGCACGAAACACAAGTTTTATACACTCACTGTTGTCAATGAAATCGTTAAGATTAAACGCGCAAGCCAATCAGAACGTCACAACTTCAGACGCTCAGTCGTCGGGTATGCCACGTAATCCTTTTTAGCCGCAAGGCAAGAATAAATCATTTAGAATAAAAACAGAGGTGTGTCAATGCGTTGTTTTATGTATTGAAATGATAGGTAAAATTATAAGCTAAACAGTCAAAAATCCTGTGTATAAATCAATTTGAATTTTAATAACTAAAATAGAAATAGATATATTTTAATCTGGTTCAGTTTATCGGTTGGTTTTTGGTTGTTGTTGTTTTTTTTTTAAATTGTATACGCCTATGCACTATTTTCTTTCAAAAATTGATTGACAAGTTTAAGACACGCCCACTTTCAAAGCTGCAATTGATTTAGCGTAGGCGGCCGAGGATAAAATTGATCAGCGGATCAAAAGATCTTTTGTTTTAATATTTTATTGAATAAATACTCTTTTGGTTAAACAACATTTTGGTTAAACTCTTTCGGTTAAACTTTCTTTTGGTTAAAGATTGATGGTTAAAAGATCTTTTCGTAAACCATCTGTCGGCTAAACAATCTGTTGGTTAAAAACTTTTTATTAAACTATCTGATGGTTAAGTAATCTGTTAGTTAAACGAACTCTTGACTAAACTA